CTATTTACAAATGCATAAATGAGGTAAGGAAGGTACAAGGGATAGTGTAGTAACCCAGGGCTAGTAACAGTAGAATTGTTACCACCCCTAGGCCTGAAGAAACAAGAAAGGGAGCTCTGGGACCTAGATGGAGAGATACACATAGAGAAGGCCATGTTGAAGAGCAGAGATCTTCAGTTCAGGGACCCAGCCTCCCTCCATCAGATCTGATGAGGATCCCCATTGGCCAAACCCAACTAGAACCAGAGAGCAAGGAAACCTGTTGGTTTAATCCATAGGTTTCAGCTCCCATGGCACTGGGTGGAATGTAGAAGTGTAGATCTCAAGGGACAAATGGAAGATATCTAGCTTATACCCAATGCTCTTTTTCGATTCCTGTCATCTTCTGACCTCTTACTCCTTGAAGACTTGAGCTCCTAGCTCATTATCTTCCTCTCTACACCTTAGTGACTTCAGCATCCATGTAGGTGACCCTCTGTAATCTTTTTCATCCATTCCTATAGTCACACACTAAATACTACCAACAGTAATAACACGATGTTGACTTCAAGCATCCCACTATCTGACCACCACCTCTTATCTCTATTGCTCACTGACTCTAATTATTTCATTGCAATTTTCCAACCTTCTTTAGGCTTCCAATCCACTGACCTTACACTCCGCCACTATTCATCCACTGTCCCACCTCCACTCTCCTGTCTTCACTTTACACTATGTCCAGAGGAAATTTCATGGACTTAACTCCCTTGAAAAGAATGTTGTCTCTACAATTTATTCACCTGTCAAAAGTCTAACTCTAGTTAAAGCCAGCTATCTGTCTTTTCCAGTGGGGAAAAAAGACATAATTGTGTGGACTGGTTTCTCTCTACATTTGCTATCACAAGTTTCAAATGGGCATTCTGATCTGCCCAGAATTCCTACACTGATCCTGGTAAGTATGCCAATTACTCTTCAAGAGGATTATTTCATACCTTCTTTCTCCTTGAGCCTCTCATACTCTGCAATCTCAGTATCCACACCCTGATCCGTTCACCACCAATTCTACAAACCTCCCACTATCTGCATCCATATCCCTGCCCTCCATCCTGTTACTGGAGGATAAGGGTCCCTCCTCCTATCAGAGCCCAACCCCTCCAAGTGTGCTCTAAAATTCCAACCTTTTTCATTGTTTGAAGAAATGTGTTCCGGTTCTCCTTCCCTTTCTCTCCTCCATCAATTTTCCTCTACTGGCTCATTTTTAACATCAAATGAATATGTCAAGTAATTCCCATCTTAAAAAATGTCTCCTCGATTCCAAATTCTCCTCCTTTTCTCATCTGATTTATCCATTCCCCTTCAAAGAAAAACTTGATTGTCTACAGAGATTGCTTTTCTTCATCTCCCATTATTTCATTCTGCCTTCCATAACCACCATTCCACGGAAATGTTACTCTTGTTTAGATCCCCAGTGACTAACTGGTTCCCAAGTCACCTGATCCCACCTATCAGCAGCATGTGACATAGCTGATTACACTCCCATTCTCAAATCATTTTCCTTTCTCGGTTTTTGTGGACAACATTCTTTCCTGATTTTAAATTTAAAATAATTTAAACGAAATAAAATTAAAATTCAGTTTCTCAATCACAGTAGCCACATTTCAAGTGCTCAACAGGCATATGTGGATGGTGGACAACACGAACATAAAACAATTCCATCCTTGCAGGAAGTTCTATCGGACAGGACTGAACTAAACTGTCTCCCTAGGTGAGCTCACCCAGTCCCATGGCTTTAAATACCATCTATATGCTGAGTTCTAAATTTATACCTCTAGCTCTGACCCAAGCTTCAGATTTGTACATGAAACTGCCTATCTGATGTAACCATTTTCATGCTAAAAAGGCTATTCAAACTAACATCCAAAATAGAACACTTCATTTTCATCTTCTCCTCCTCTTACTCTACCCACGAAAGCTTTCTTCTCTTCCTGTCTGTCTATTCTTAGCAAATGACACCATCCAACCAGTTTTTAAGCCAAAATTCCGGCAGCCATCTTGATTCCCAATATCTAATCCATCAAAGAGTCTTACCAACTCTATCCATAAAATATATCTCCAATCTACTCTCTTCTCCCTCCACTGTCATCTTCCTAGTCGAAGGTTTTTGTCTGCCTACTGTCCTACTAACAGGTGATTCCCTGCACCTAAATCTAGCACCTAGCAGGTGCTCATTAAATATGTTGAATAAATTAACAAATACAATCTTACTAAATAGTGCAAAATAATCTTAACTTTTAAAATATTCATGAATAATAGATATTTAGCACAGAAACTTTGGGAAACAGATTTTCGAAGATAATAAAAATCACTTCCCAGACTTTACTTACAAATGGTTATGGCTCAATATCATTATTCATTTTGTCAATTATTAACACATTTTTCATGCTTTTCACAGCACTATAATTTACCCCCATGCATCTGTTATTTGCATTGTCAGTGCAACTCACCTCCCCAAGAGACATTTTGGTTGTTGTTTCTTCCCGCTCAGCCTTGCTTTTCCTGATTAATCCTGGAGCTTGTTGACCTCTTGATTATCTATACACTCTGTGCCTGTCACAGCCCAGGACTCAGCTCACCCAGCAGACATTTATTTGTTCAGAAGTTCCCCACTTTGTTCCTGTCCCTGCCTACCACCTAGCTCCTCCCTGCAGTCCTCAGCCTTCTTGTCAGGAACACTAACAGTTTGACCCTAGCCTTGATTCAAAATAACTCAACCAATAACTCCAAACAATGTCTGCTACCCCACCCTCTTTGATTCTCCGTATTTACTGGCAGCCCCTAAATGCTTGATCACACCCATTCATTTCAGCTGCATGACAGGTATGGTCAAATAGATTTTTCCTACAGATACAGGTAATTACACTAGTGAAGGAATGGAGTATGACGAATGCAAGGGCATCTTCTGGGGCCTGGAGCCTAGTAATTATTAATATACCCGACATCTGCATTGGCTGTGTCAGTTTATGAAGCCATCTCAGACACACCATCTTCACAGCAATCCAAACGCTATTATTTGCCTACCCAACACTCACCTCTCCTCCACCCTGCTCCAACTTCCTTCTCTCCAAGAGAATGTCCATTTTGTTCATGACCCACCCTCCATCAAAGGGCAGATACAACAGGTGAGTTGTATGTCATCCTCCACCCTACCCAGCCAGCTTTGAGGTCTCACTCCTTTTATGAATGGGGAAGTGATATGAATATGGCCAGAAGGAGTGAAAGAAAATGTGCTGTGAGGAGTTCTGGAAAAGGTTTCCTCACCCTTAAAACAAGATCCTCAGTGACAAGATCACCTCTTTTTTGGCTCTGGAGATGGCCCTGTCTAGATGTAATTTCTTTTTTTTTTTTTTTTTAAAGATTTTATTATTTTTTTCTCCCCAAACCCCCTGGGTACGTAGTTGTGTATTTTTAGTTGTGGGTCCTTCTAGTTGTGGCATGTGGGATGCCGCCTCAGTATGGCTTGATGAGCGGTGCCATGTCCTCGCCCACGATTGGAACTGGCGAAACCCTGGGCTGCGGAAGTAGAGCGCGAGAACTTAACCACTCAGCCACGGGGCGGCCCCTGGACGTAACTTCTGAGACCACTAACATCTTCTATTAAATATGAGGAGAGAGAGTCTTAGGTTGAAACCATTGCTGAGAACAGCGCAGCGGGAAGATGAAAGGAAACTACAGCCTTTGCAATATTCTTAAGCTCTTTTTCATACTATGCCAGAGGCCCTACAGCTGGACTTCCAACTGCGTATTTGGAAGCCCAGGGGATTCTAATTCCATCAAAATTTGAGAGGCACTGACTTCCAAGGCCACAGCTATAAACCTTCACCACCACTTACTAGGTAAGTAATTTTAGCCAAATTATTTAACTTTTATAGAATCCATTTCTTTATCTGTAAAGAGGGGAATAATATTCATCTTATGGCCTTATCGTAAGGATGTAGGGTTAAGAGGATTTCATGGAACACTGAATACGGGAAGTGCTGTGAGGTCTATTAGCCAGAAAATAATGCCACAAAGTCCCTAAATATTTCCCAAACTTGCCTGCTGATAGAAATTGACACACTGATTAGACAAGCTGATCCCAGGCCTGTCCTCTGGAGATCCTGATTCAGCAGCTCCCTACGGACTTCGAGAGACTGTATTTTTTGAAACACATCCTAGGCTCTGGGGAAGTGTGGTAATCAAGCAAGTTTGAATTTAGCAAGGGAACACACGATGTAAAACTCCTATGCAGCAGGATTTAGGATTTCTGGTTTTTAAATCTAAATCTGTTACTGTTTCACTCAGGCAATGTTTCACCTTTCTGGACCCGTTTACTCATCTGTGTACTCGTCCTATCTAACCTGCAGGTCTACAGCGGACTGAAGGCAAATCACATGTGGGGTGAAACGGCTTCTCTAATCCAGTATTTTCATATTGCTGCAATGTGCATTAAGTAGATACAAAAATAAGCAAATTAGGGTTGGCAGAGACGTTGGCTTTAATGGTAAAATTAACGGAAATGATGAATGGTAGGACGATGCCTTCTCTACCTTGAGCCACTGAGCTTCCACTCCTCTCAGGATCATGGCATGACTTGAGGTGATGACCCTCAGCTACTCTGGTCACACTGTTGTGAAAACACCTAGAAAAGTTAAAAATATGAGTGTTGGGAAAGAGGAGATTTGGATGAGGGCCCTAAATTCACTTTTTGGACCAAGGTATGTTTTACTGGCAAACACTTTCAGTAATGTCTGCATGTGCAACAGAAACATTTCCCTCGACGCTCTAAAAAGAAAAAAAGAAAAGAAGAGAAAGACGACGCGGGCCATCGGCCTCAAGTGGAGTTCACGAAGTTGGGAGCGCTGAGAGACACCTAACTTGGGAGCTCCGGGGCCCGTAGGGCGCACAGGACGCCCGATGTCGTCACAGGCGGAAACCAACCTCCTCCAGCCCTTCACTTGCCCAACGTCACCTTACGCTTGAACGACGGCCGCGCAGAGGCCGGCGGGCCCGCCCCCAAGGTCCTGAGAGCCCGGACTTCCGCCTCAGGCCCCGAACTCCTCCCTGCGCAAGCCAGCCCAGCCCAGCAAGAGGCTCCACGCGCCGAGTCTGAGTCTCCTCAGCGCCCGTAGTTCTTGAACTTTGACCGCCCTCAGAGCCGGCGCTAGGGGATGGCACGCATGCGTCGTTCCTTTCAATGGCTGGCGCCCTCATCCTAGCCGCGGCGGGGGGAGCGGTGGCGGTGTTCCTGGCCCTGCGGCTATGGGCAGTGCTTCATTCGCGGGTCTCTGGGCCCCGGGAGTCTCTCAGTCTCCTAGTGGTCGCTGGGTCCGGTAAGTGTCAGGGCTGTGACTGTCGGGCTTGGGTCGGTCACTACAAACCCCAGAGTACACCGCGACGCTCTTCGCTGGTCTCCTTAGAGCTTTTTGGAGAATTGCATGCTGAGATTTGTAGTTTCTCTGCGTTATCGGAACCGGTCAGTCCAGCCGGGGCAAAGTGCTGGTCGGCTGACGCGGCGCAGGCGTCATTAATGCCAAATGAGTAACTTAGACTTGTCTTTAATTAAGCTTCTCTGTAGCGTGTATTTTCCTAACAAATTATTAGTGAACAGAGGGGACGCAGAGCCTTTTGATGCTTACATGCAATTTCCCTGAATAAAAATGGCTCTTTTGCATTATTAATCTGGGCATCTTGAATTTAGTTTAGGAATCGCGGATACTACATGATAAATGAGGCAAAGTGAATTGTCACGTTTATAAATATACAAAATCCCTGAGGATAGAAACAGTTATCTATTGACGTGGAACAATGCTTCAAGATAGTGTGTCAGAGTACAAACAACAAGCTGCCCTATTAGGTAATACACTCTAAACAGACACAGCTCACCAGCTCTGTAGGCGCTTACAATTTAAATGGACGTTTCTGACAGAGATATACAAATACATGCTGCGTAGATTTAGAAATTCCAAGAGATTGCATCCAGATAGAAGAATATTTGTAGGATGAGAAACGTTCTAAACTTATGTTCAAGGATAATTCGTTACTTTGTTCACTTAATATATTTTGGGCCATGGGGGAGGCCAGGCAATATGGGAAGCTTTAGAAATAACAAAACTGACTGATACATCTTGCTGTGGAGTGCTGACTGCGTCCAAAACAGTGTGAAAAGTGAGAGGGTACAGCAGTGAATGAAATGGAGGATATAGAAAAAGTAGCAGAAAACAAAAACCGAAATGGGTACTTACCACACTGAGAGAAGTGCTATAATCTGGGAAATACAAACTGCTATGGAAGTCTTCAGGAAGGGCACCACTTTGTCTGAACTTGAGACAAGAAACTTCCTGGAAGAAGTGATGTCTAAACTGAGACTTGAAGGATGACAAAGAACTGGTCAGACAAAGAGGATCTGGGGCTTTGAGGGCTGGGAGGATGTGGAAAGAAGGCCATAGCACTTGGAATGGCCAGAGATGAGAGGGCATTATTGCATTGAGTTCAATGTGGGGAGGTAAACCCAGTCCAGATCCTAAAGGGCGTTTTAATCTATTGGCATTACTCCACTGCTTCATACCACGTAAGGGTTAGGACCACAGGCCTCTAGATTGACGTAACGCTGGAGTTGGATCACATCTCTGCCACTTAGTAACTTGGTGATCTTGGGCATATTAGTTAACGTCACTGAGCTTTCTGTTTCCACCTCGAAAAACGTGGGATGAGAAGAGATTAAATGTGGTAGTATTTAAAGTGTTTAGTGAAGTGCCTGGCAGATAGTAAGCATTTAATAAATGGTGACTAATGTTAGTCCTGGTAGCAAAGGGATCTTTTAAAGTACTATTGAATGCAGAGTGTTAAATCCAAGCTTTCACAAAGATCATTCAGCCTGCATTGTCAAGAGAATGTTTTGACAAAGACTGAGGTAGGAAGACATGTAAGTCTTTTGAATAATTCCAGTGACGGATGATGACAGCCTGACTACAGTGATAGATGTGGGGATGGAGAGAAGTATATACATTTAAATGAGATTTAGGAGGTAAAAAATCACAGGACTTGTGGATTGAAAGTGAGGGGTGAGGGAAGGAGGAGCTCAAGAATGATGTCCAGGTTTCTGTCTTGAACAAATGGTTGGATGGATGGTAGAGCCATTCACTTGACAGAATTAGGTTTGGTGCAGTGGGAACCAAAATTAGGATTGATAATTCGTCTGGAAAGTGGTGCCCTCTGTCATTCAAACCACTCAGGGGAGGGAGAGGTCAAAAACCTCAAAGAATCATCCAAGTCAAAGAAAGACTTGTAATCAGTAAACAGTTTAATAGTTCATGCCCAGAAGTTTGGAGGAGGGAGAAGGCATTTTCAATGTTTACCTGGACTACTAAAAAGCATTTAATCCTTAGATACCATAAAATAGTATTAATCAACCACTCATATTCAAAGAACATCGGTCAGAATTACTGCTTCTCTTTGAAACACTATATGATCTCCTTAGGCAAATTTTAGATTTAATATCGAGCACTCATCTATCCATCCATTCGATAATAGGAATGCCTCCTATTTTGTAGGCACTGGAGATACAGCAGGAACAAAATGAACAAAAATCCCTGTCATCATGGTGCTTGCCTTCTAGTTGCATAAGGTTGGAGGGAGACAAAAACAAAAGAAATAAAAAGACAGCGTAGTAGATTGTATGGTGATAAAGGACTGTGAAATAGAGAAAAGGAGTTGCATTTTAGACAGAATTGAGAGGAATCTTCCCTAGGGAGCTATCCAACAGCAAGAGGCCAGAGTTGCTGGAGTAGACTGAGTAAGAGGGGGAAGAAGCAGATGAGGCCCAAGAGGGAACAGAGTAAGGGGTCGGATTACAAGAGGCCTTTATTCCGTATGAGAAGGGAAGCCATTGGAGGGTTTGAGCAGAGGTAAATAATTAACGAAGTATTGAATAATTAATAAATAATCAACTCTTTTTAATAGGATCCCACTGATGCTGTGTTGAGAATAGACTTAAGTGGACAGTTGAATAGACAAATGGAGCTGGGGGAACAGACCAGGAAGCCATGGTCATAATCCATGTGAGAGTGATGTGGCTTGAAGCAGGGGGGTAGCAAAGGAGGTGGTGAGAAGTGTTTTCATTCTGGGTATATTTTAAGGTACAACTGAGAAGATTTCGTTCCCAGAGAATATATCTTATTAAAGAGTAAAATGGAAGACAAAGCCCATCATTTTAATGACTTTCTTCAGTGGCAAGGTGAAATTTTCAAAGAATGTATTCAGTGAGGATTTCCTTTAAAAAAAAAAGACTTAAAGCAGGTGTAATGAAGTTTTAATTGCAGTGAAAGATGTTGTGGATATTAGGTTTTTATCCTTAATTGTTCCAGCTGTGAAAACAAGTACCTACTTTGCAAACCACCACAGTTTTTCAAGGCTAAAAGCAAAAGTACTAAAATGAGTATAAATCAGCTGGGTAAATTACTTGCCCCAGCCAAGAAGATGGGTGATAAGTTATAAAGTTAAAGTTTGATTCTAATTCCGGGAACTCACACTTAAGCTATGCCAATTTTATTTCTATATGTAATTCCTTCTGGAATCCAGAGAGTAATCCTTCCCTTTCCACTGTAAGAGAATATATGCATTGGGAGAAAACACATGCTTAAGTTGTTTGATCATCTTTCTATATGTTCACTTTATCACTTTTGAAAGCACTTTCTTACAACAATAATGGAGGTGGGGGGCGGGGAGCTTTGTAGGTAGGGGGGACAGTGTGACCAGAGGCAAGGAGGAGGTCACAAATAAGATGGATACAGAGGATTTTAAGGACATCAGCTTGGCTGAGGCTGGGAGATTGTGAAGTGAAACTGGATAGGTATGATACGGCTCGTTGATAAGGAATTTGATTGTTTTGCTTAAATAGTATATAGTTAATGTTATAGGTAGATGTTCTTTGGAGTTTTTTCCATGAAGGAAACGTCAGTGAACACAGTTGATTTTTAAATGCATAGTTTTGAAATTAAAGTTAAAATTTGGAGACTGTACAGTTTCAAAAATTGAAGATACAGTTGTTTGATGAAACTGGTCAATACGTATTTGCAAACCTGCGGTGTGCTAAGACTTCTGTTAGGAGCAGGGGTTATGGTGGTGAACAGAAGTCTTCCTTAGGAAGTCCTGAGCCCTGCAGTAAGTACTCATACATCCCTGCTGTTGCTTCTCAATGCAGACACCTTCAGTGACTGTCTTCCAATTTTTCACCCTACTGTCCTGACCTTATTTCACCCTCCTCCTTCTTACCAGTATTCGCCTCTTCCCTTCAACAAACATCTCAGATCTTGCCATCTCATGTCCTGGTAATCCTGCCCCTGCCCAATGGCCTCCCTGCTCCTGTCTGTCCGTTAGCTTCACCTTTCAAGTCGTCTCAGTGTTTACCAAGGATCTCCCCTACTCTTATGCAGTGATTTTTCATAACCATTTGCTTAACCACTCCCTCTGTGTTTAAATTTTTCTTGCTGTCTTGCATGGCTCTTTATGTATCTGTGTGTGTCTTGCCCCTCTCCCACCAGGTTTTTGATAACAGGAACTGTGTCTTACACTTCTGTGTACTTTCCTAAGCACCTACTGCTAGTCGTATAATACTGCTAGTATTTTTATACATTTATTATCTTCTTCCCTCATGTAAAAGTAGTATTTATACAAGGTCATAGACTGTTGTTTCCATATGTTCCTTCCGTCTTTTAAGAAGTACACAAAACATAACGTTAGTATAACATAGTCAAATGGATATGTCCGTTGCGGGTTTCTTAATCTTAGGTCTTCTGATATTTTTTCCAGGTGGGCATACCACTGAGATCCTGAGGCTGCTTGAGAGCTTGTCTAATGCTTACTCTCCTAGACACTATGTCATTGCTGACACTGATGAAATGAGTGCCCATAAAATAAATTCTTTTGAACTAAATCGAGCTGATAGAGACCCCAGTACCACGGTAAGTGATAGTTTCTATTTCTAACAAAGTTACAAGTTGTGTATTGAGTTTAATTATCTCTGGAAACAATATCGTGGCACTTTAGTACCCTGATCACACAAGGCAGTCTCAATGTTTATGGCTGATGAAATATATCAAAAGAAATTCTTTCTGTAAAATTTCTTTAAAATAAAGAATTTCTTTAAAATAAATCTTGAAATAAAAATGGTTGCTTAAATTTATTATATTCTCTTTTATTCTTTGAAATAGAGGAAATTGTTTTTCAGTTAATTCCAACTGTGAAAATTGTTTTATTTATACTTACATACATAAAGCATGCAGTTCATGTGGTTATTGGCGCTTCATTAAAGTTCTTTATCAATGTATTGCATTTATTGATAATTTGATTTATCTATGACTACTTACTCTGCAAATCAGATTTGTATCTGCCTTTAAAATTACTTCTCTGCTCCTGGTTGCTCAGTTCATTTTAATGTTTTATTCAGAATTTGGGGTAAAAGAACAAAGTGAAAGTACTTCTTTATCAAGGAAGAAAACTAGAGCTATTCCTTCTGTAGGTCATCTCCGTCCATCTCTTTCACTGGTACCTGCCAAGCCATGGGCTGCAATAGGTCACTCACGACTGAACTCCAGCTCAGACCATTCAAAGTGATTCTCTGGGCTTTTTGGACTTGGAGACCCAGAGAATGGAGGCAGTCTTTTTTCAGGGGCAAACTCTGTAAAAGATAAAACTTAGGAGCTACTGGCAGTCGTGTTTTCACCTAGTGGATAAAGACAGACTACAGATAGAGAAAAGAATGAAGTTAATATGCAGGAAGAATAAAGTGAGAAAACAGATGGCGAGCCCTGCCTTCAGACACTCCCGAGGCCCAGCTGCATCTGTGGGTCCTGGCTTGGTGGTTCTTATCTTCTTGGAAATCAGGATCCACTAATATAACTCCTCTCCCACTTCACCCTCACTCCCCCTCCTGCTTCCCACCCCAGACCATTTTTAAGCTTGTTTTAGTTGAGTTCTGGTCACTTGTAAACATGATCCCTAACTAAAACACCATTAAAATGTATTCTTGGAGAATCCGTGTCAAACAAGATCAGAATCTGCCTGCTGTTATTTAGTCATAGCAAAAGGTATGGTATGTTTTTTCTGTGTGGGAGATGAGCCAAAATGCTTCATTTCTGTTTTAGGCATCAATACTGTATTAGTTGCCTAGGCCTGCTGTAACCAAGTACCACAAACTGGATGGCTTCAAACAACAGAAATTTATTCTCTCTCAATTCTGGAGGCTAGAAGTCCAAAATCAAGTGTCAGCAGGGCCTTGTTCTCTCTGAAGCCTTAGGGGGTTTTTCCTTGCCTCTTCCTGGCTTCTTATGGTTGCCAGCAGTCCTTGGCCTTCCTTGGCTTGTAGCAGCATCATTCCAGTCTCTGCCTCTGTTGTCACAGGGCCATTCCCATGTCTGTGTCTTCACATGCCCTTCTTATAAGGACACCAGTCATTGGATTTAGGGCCCACCTTGGTCCAGTGTGACCGTATCTTAACTTGATTACATCTGCAAGACCCTATTTCCAAATAAAGTCACATTCAAAGATTCTAGCATTTTTGAAGGGCACTTTTCATCCCTGTGTGCCAGTAATTGACTTTTTCAATAATGTGTGAGACAGATAATGGTATCCCCGCTTTACAAATGAGAGAAATGAGACTCAGAGTCGTAAATAACTCGGTCAAGTTCCCTCCAAATATGTAGCACTTACCTACACGTGTCTTCTCCAGTGCCCCTGCTTTGTCCACACGGGGCACTCTGCCTCTTGTGATCCTTTTCCAACTCAAAGTACTGAGTGAGAGAACAGTGCCTTAGGAATTCTTATCTAAGCCATCAGAGAATAATAATATTATTTAATCTCTTATAAAAAGTATTATAATGTAGCAGACTACTTAAAAAAATGTAAAGATCAAGTAATTACAAAATTCTTACTGTTTTCAGCCTAAGGAACAGGTATCTTTGTTTTTACCCAATTATTAGTGTGCATATTCTTTTCTTCTTTCCAAGGTGGCATCCACTTTGGAGCCTCCAGTTTTAATTTAGCGTACATATTGTATATTTCCCTCCAGGTCTATCATCATACGTACTGTTTATTTGCTGAATTATTTCATGGTTTAGTGAAACGTTTGGAAGATTGTTCTATACTGTGGATCGATGATGCTTTAGAACCCAGTAAGTTGGGTTTGATTCACTTTAGTAAGAAAGCCAAAGATTTTGGATTTTTTTAAATGCCGTTATTTTTCCCTGCTGTTGAAGTGGCACCGCAGTGTAGGACTGAGTGTCTCTGTTAAGACTTCCTTCTTCCATCAATTAATTTACTGCTGGAGCAACACAATCCTCGTTAGAGAAGAACGCTATCGCATTCCTGAAGAGTCTCTACTCATAAATCTGAAGCTGGGAAGAGTTTCTGCAGAGATGCAGAGGAGAGCCACTGAGGGCGGTAGCATGAACATGCCTGTTGTCCTGCTGGCTACCCCTTTGTGCCACACTTGGAGGAGAGGAGGCAGGGTGGAGAGACACCTTCCCACTGAGCTTTGTTAAAGGGAAGAATCCACTTATTCCTCTCTTTCTACACCACAGTTTCAGGGAGTTGTCCCTGCAGCCTCCCTGACAGCTATCCCTTCTACCTTCCATGGAGCTCACTAGACTGGGGAAAGGAGGAATCCTGCTGAAAAAATCAGTAGTAATCAATACATTTGCTGGCAGAGCCCTTATCAGCCAAGAATACTGAACAATCTAGATCTGTACTTTCTAGTACAGTAGCCACCAGTACTGGCCCAGCACCACTCACTGAGTTGTCCTTTTCCTACTGATCTGCAGTGCTACCACTGTGACATTAAGTTTCTATGTATGTATATCTCTATATCGAGCTTTCTTCTTTGTTAACTGGTTCATTTGTCTGTCCCTGAGCTAATATCAAGCTTCCTTAGTCTTACTCTTCAGAAGTGTCTTAATTGCTCTTTGTTTTTCACATAGGTTTTTGAAGTAGTTTTGACAAGTTCACAAAGAACCCTGTTGGAATTTTATTTGAATTGAGTTGAATCAATACATCAGTTTGAGGAGAACTTACATCTGTAAGTTTCCAGGAACATCATCTCTTTCTCCATTATTTAGATCTCCTCTAATGCTTTTCAGTAACATTTCTAATTTTCTTTATAAGAGTCTTGCCTGTCTTTTCTTGTTTTTATTTCTAGGTACCTGTGTTGTTTTATTATAGTTGTAAGTGATGTATCTTTTAGTGATATTTCTTGTGTTGTGGTATATGGAAATATAATTGATTTTTGTATAATGATCTTATAAGAACCACTTTGCTACATTCTAATTAATCCTAATATTTTGTACACTTTTGTGTTATCTATGAAGATAATCTCATCATCTGCAAATAGTAACAATTATGATTCTTTCTAATCCTTACACTTTTTATTTCTTTTTCTAATTTTGTTGTTAGAACTTCCAGAACAATAATGAATATGAAGCGGTGTACTGGTCATCCTTGCATTATTTCTGACTTTAAAAATCTGCCAAGATGGGGCCGACCCAATGGCATAGTGGTTAAATTCACATGCTCCACTTCAGTGGCCCCAGGTTCGCATCCCAGGCTTGGCCCTACACCGCTCATCAAGCCATACTGCAGTGGCATCCCACATACAAAATAGAGGAAGATTGGTACAGATGTTAGCTCAGGGCAAATATTCCTCACCAAAAAAGAAGAAAAAATTGCTGAAAGCTTTATTTTAAATCATATTTTGTTGTTGATTTTTATCAATGTCTTTTCTATATCTGAGATTATCATGTAGTTTTTCTAATTTTGTCTGTTTATGTAGGCAGTTACATGGCATGAACTATTCTTGAATTCCTAGAATAAACTCAGTTTGTTCATAGTATGTTATTTTTTAATGTATTGCTGGATTTTGTTTGCGAACATAGTGTTTAGGATTTTTTCATTTATGTTCATGAGCGAGATTACCCTGTACTTTTCCTTTCTCATGCTGTTCTATAGTTTGGGTATCAAGGTTACACTAATCTCTATGTGAGTAGAGTGTACACATTTTGTTCTTGGGATGAATTTGTGTAAATATGGAATTAATTTTTAAGTTTTGTAGAACTTGTCTATAAAACCACCTGGCCCTGATGTGTTCTTTTTCTTGTGGTTATAGGACTCTTCAGGCTTTTTGTTTCTTCCTAAGTCAGTGTTGCTAAAATATTTTTCTAGGAATATGTCCATTTTTTGTAAGTTTGCAAATGTATTAGCATAAATATTTTCATAATATTCTGTTGTCATTTTTGTAGTCTGTGCTGTAGTGTTTGCATGGTATATCTTTCTCTAGCTCTTTATTTTTACTTTTTGGTGTGTCATTGTGTTTAGGTGTGTCTTTTATGAAGGACATACAGCACAATTTTTAAAATTCAAAACTGAGAATCATTGTCTTTTTAACTAGCGTGTTTGGTACATGTACATTTATTATGATTACTAATGTATTAGATTTAGTTTTGATATTTTATTTGATTCTTTCTGCTTACCATACTTTTTCTTTGAATCTTTTTTTCCCTCTTTTTCTGTTTTCTGTTTGGATTAATTGAATTTTCTTTATTGTCCCTTTTTTCCTTCTCCTGGAGTGGAAATTATTCTACTCTCTTAGACATTATCTTTAAATTCGTAACATGGATAGCTAATTTAAAGTTAAAAACTTAATATCTCTGTCCTCCTGAAAACCAAGGCTTTTAGAATGTTTTAACTGTGAGCACCTCCTCCCACCTTATGTATTATTGTTAAGTATTTTGGTTCTACCTTGTTTTTATACCGCTCAAATTACTTAGTACTATTATTATTTTATACAGTCATTGCTTTTTTAGGTTTATATAGCATTTTGTTTGCTTACCAATGCTTATCCAGTGTGTTTCTTCCAAAAGTCTATCTTTTATTAATTCTTTCATGGAAGGTCTCTAAGTGCTATATTCATTCT